GGTTCTGTTGGAGGCAATGGCGACATTGTTGTGCGAAATTTAGTCTTGCGTCTTCTAAACATGTATAAGAGTACAGAGACAAATAGAAACGTTCCAATGGAAAAATTCCAAAAATGCACTGAAATGCCAACAACTGTAAAAAGGGTCAAAAATTAATTGAAAAGAGCAAAATTGTTCAATAATTGCTTTAGAAAATTACAGAGAGCCAAAAGAAGAATCGGTAAATAAACAAAGCAAAATTAGCCTTCACTTGGAATAAATTAAAAGCAACCCACCCTTCGCCATGTTGATTTCTCCCATGTGCATGCCATGTTGTCACTTTTGTTGCTTGTGTTGTTGGTGCCTCTGATCCCAGCTCATTTTTTGTCGTCACCATTTCATCGACTGTTGCTGACTCCTGATGTTCACCCCTCTGTGATATGGTACTTGAACCACTTTCCCAACCGTTCTCCTTTTCCTCTTTGTCAAATGTTTCAGAACTTTCCTTTTTCTCGTTCATCTTTGCCTCTTTTTCTTCCTCTTTATGATGTTCAGCCTTATTCTGACTTTTCCTCAATTCTGCTTCAATATCTATCCGTGACTGTCCACCATGTCCATAATCCGTTCTTCGATCATCAGGTTTACTTACTCCAGATCTCAACACTCCTCGACTATCCACCGTAATTCTAGTACTTTCCGGGCGGTAGGGCAGTGGTTCCTAAAATGACTAATTGATAAGAAAGTCAACTAATGTCACTTTTTTTTGCGAAATTACATCCAAAAACTGCATGCAAGTGGTGACTTATCAATGAATCATTCGATATGAAGTCATCTACACAGAAACAAAGCCCTAGCTTACTTTGGGTGATGCTACCTCCTGCACATTGGTCTCATACACACGATTGGTTTCAATGCTGACAGTCTTAACGGCAGTTGGCGTATTGTATCCCATGAGTCGGGAGTAATCAAGCATCGCTTTTTCTAAAAGCAAGTTATCAAAAATGATGAACGTGAGCTAAAAATGACAAAAAAGGAATTACACTTTTTTTAAAGGCAATATAACTTCCTGCATGACGACTGATTTACTAGAAATTTGGAAAATGTAGGGTTTCTGAATAGATGAAATTACAATCAGATGAATTCATATTATTACATGAACAAAAGTAGAAGGAGTAAGAACTAGCGAGAACTGATCCCCAAAGCCTAGAGGACCGAAATTCTCTGCTTTCGCCAACATATAGCATCCGCAAATATTCATTGCTCCGCTACTCTCACTATTTCAACAACCTTGAGATGGGGACTGGAGAACCAATTGAGTGCTGCAGAAATTTAGTGCTACAACAATATTGAAATCTATTTGTGCTTTTCTAGAACCCAGAACTTCATGGAGTAAGACATCATCGAAATTATCAAACCGGATATCAGTGTTCATTAGAATACAGTTATAAAAAGAAACTGACAATCTTTTCAAATAATGCTCCTTCTGATTAAATCAAACTTTCGAAACCGCAAAAATACAATTTACACCTTCTGATCGTACTAAACAGGACAAAAAATGGTCTTTGGAAGACTGATTAGCGTGTGAGTATTTTTTATTTGCAAATATTAATTATTTATCAATTTTTAAAAATCAATTACTATATAACTACTGGTGCTTAAATACGCTAGCAATTTGTCTAGTAATACTTGCCAAAAAATAAGTCATGCTTCGGGCCACGACATGCTATATTCCAACTACCCACGCCATATGACAATTGCTTTTTATATCATTGTCACCTCTAACTAAACTTCAAATCCAATTAACCTACCGATACAAGGGTTATTCGGGATCATTGTTCTCTGATGAGCCATACATTCCACGTCGGCTAGCGGACAATAACAAGGCTGTTCTAGGATTGATGCCCTAGAATTTTTCAGCTCATTGATAACGAAAAGTGTATTAATTAATAGTGATTAGTAACTCTGTCTATCTATAGATTCTCAGAATATAAACATGCTTAGGTAGATATATAGAATAAATTTTGTGGAATTGAGCTGTTCTATTGAATTTTCAGTTTACAGAAATTCATTTTTTAAAAGAAAGAATTTTACCTCGCATGCAAGATTGTTCTTCTACATTCGTCCAAGGAGGTCTTCGTACATTCATCTTGAGCTACTGGACAATTTGCCAAAAGCGAATGCCGAAGATGTCTAAATTAACACTAAGAAGTCAACCAGTAAGGAACTGCGATTAAGTCACTTACCGACATCGATGATCCGAATCACATTTGCGGGCCGCTTCCGTGCATGTCATTGCCATTGAAGATGTTGAGTAGAGGCACTTTGGATAAAGCAATTCCTCAAAGGATAGAATAATTATCTTCGCTGTTCTTTGAGAAATAACTCACATATTACAGTGAATGTTCGCGAAAATTTTTAAAATATATTCAGCATAACTAAAACTTGTGCTTATACTCATATTTTATGCTTATTTATGTTAGCTCTAAAGTACAACAAATCTTATAGATTTTTATTAAAAGATAACACCATTTACAATACAAAGCATCAAAGGTCCTCTGCTTCTTCAACATTTTTTTTTGGAGAAAAAAAGAATAAGATTGAAAGTTGAAAGCATAGATAAATATCAATTAGCATATTGCA